ATTTGGCTATTTAAAAATAAATACTATTATTCTGCAATCTAACACTATTCAGGCCCTACAAAATTTTATTTCTATTTCGAAGCAAGACCCTGCTGCTCAATACAATTTAGAAATTTTCTTCCAAAATGTAATACTATAGAATGACCAAGTGCCGGACCAAGTTATCAATATTTCATCACAGCTTGAAGAAACAGCTTTAAGTAAAATTGATCAACTTATTGAAAGTTTAAATGAACCAATTAATAATTCAATTTCTATCCTAGAAGAAGAGTTAGATGAACAAAACCCTCTTACAAAAATAAAAGAAGACCTCATGCAAACTCTTGAATCTCAGAAAGCCTCTTGAATTTGACCTTTTAAAGGAACAAATTGGAAGGAAAAACTTTCTACTCATGTCAAGCCAAGAGAAAATCAGATCAAAACTCTTGAAGCTTACTATTATTTGAAAACTTTTATTCAAGAAAATGAAGCTAACCAGGAACAGATTAAAGAATAAATACAGAAAACCAATAATGCTTGCAAAGCTCAAGACATTTGGAAAGGAGCTCATCATATTCAAAAGATTTTTATTCTTCAACTGAAAGCTATAATCTACCAGACAAAATACTTGGCTGCCACACAAGTTGTCAGGCTTACAAACAAAGATTTCATTTCTTTGATTAAAAACTTAGAAGATAAATTTGCAGAGAGAATTTCTTAATAAGACAGAAATGTTATAGAACAAATTTTATTATTATAGTTTTATGAATGTATATTTTATTATTAAATGTTAGCATTATTATTATTATCAGTATTAGTTATTATTATTATTAGTTATTATTATTTAGTTATATTAAGTAGAACAAATCAATTATAGTGATTGATGCTTGACTCTTAATGCTTAATGCTTGATGCTTGACACTTGATGCTTAATGCTTAATGCTTAACGCTTGACACTTGATGCTTGACACTTAACACTTGACACTTGACACTTAACACTTGATGCTTGCCATTTGACACCTAATACTACTTAATAAATAATTATATTACTTAATTACAAATTGATATACATCTTTATCTTACACTATTCTAAACTATTTTTAACTTCAATATACCTAAAAATATTAAATTTTAAATATTTTAATATAAATAAATTTTATTATTTATTAGCTAAATTTATTGTAGTTAATCTTATTTTATATCTATACTTATTTATTATACTTTATTTTATTTATATACTTATATATTTATTACTAATTAATATACATTATTCTAAATATCTTTTTTTTATTACAATATCTAATAATTACACTTTATATCATATCTTTTTATTATATTTTCTATCACTTCACTTATATATCATATAATTTTAATTCAATACCAATATATTCTCTTTTATTATTACAAATCAGTAAATATAATCTGCTAATATCTCTATAGTTTACTAAGTATATCATATTTGATACTCTAAGTAAACTGTTTTTAATATCAAACTGCATATATTCTTAAAATTTCAAGCAGATAGCTTTAAAATATGCTGAGAAAATCAACAAAATAAGTTTCATAATTATAAATATATATATATTTTTTATTTTTATAAAGTGAGGCCTGGTCTCAGTTTTATTGAAGAATTTGATATTACATTAATTAAAATGTTTTATATAAATTATTACAAGGACCTATAGCTAGGACTAATTTATCTTTAGTCCAAAACTCTACTAGAGTAGACTATAGACCACAGGTTAACTGAATGAATAAAGGATAAATAATAGGTAAATAACAAGAAAAAATTACTATTATTCTATCCTATATTTGCCAAATAATAGTAACATAATAGCAGAATAATAGTAAAATAACAGGAGGTTTGTCAATATGAGTAACATAATAGTAATATAATAGCAAAATAATAGAA